ATGGGATTAAGTATCTCGCAAGTAGGTTCGAATCTTTTGGTGTAGTTTCGAATTGTCTATTACCTCGGGAAATTACTCTCTGATTACTTTGAAAAATACAAACAGTACTTTCAAGTTAATTTGAACCTGGACAAAATTGGTTCGAACTCTTTGTGAGTACAAAAAAAGAGCATTACTTTTAAGTAAACTCGAACTTGGATCAAATAATTTTAAATCTTTTATGAGTGTCTTACTAGAAATTTTACGTTCCTTCGAATCAAAACGTTTTAAAAAAGTGACAATTATTTTAATACATTACCTATTTTCGATAATTACAAATATTAGATTATCAATCTTTGAAATTAAATATATTAAAAAATATGATTAAAAATATAAAATAACTATACTTACTTAAAATTATTACATTTTTTGAACTAATTTTATTCTTAGAGTTCGAGCACTACTCGTAAAAGATTTGGTTCTTTACGACAGAAACTACATAGAAAGTACATTTCTAATCCTTCTGGTATTTATTTAAAAATTCAAAATTAACTAGTTATAGGTTTGATTATACTTCGGAAGTGTAAAGTATGAAATATTATTTCTTATGGATATTACTCGAATCCTAGAAAATAAAACTTGATTATTGGATTTATAGCTCGAATTTTTAAGTACATATTGAACTTGATCTCATTCCTAATCGTGATGTTCGTACCGCCTCTTGACAAGTCATTCCGCGTTTATTATCATCCTTAATGACCGACGCGGAAGAAGTTCGGAAATTTCTGCCACTCACGTGGTCAGAGCCGCGGAAAGATGACGCCGATAACAGATCGGTTTGGCGGCGAAAGGCCGGCAATTCTAATACACACGCTAGAGAAACATCACAATATCGGCGATCCATTGCCGACAATCTCGGGAGAATGGTGTGTGCCGCGGGTGCGTAAAGCGTGAAATTGCAGGTAGAATCCGCAGGTAATGCTTCGCCGGTCGTTACGATCAGCTGTTAACGATCCGTCATTGAGATACCGGCCATCGGTCGGCCGCCATTACGTCACGTTACATTGTGTAATATCGCGTAGCGCCGCGTCTCCCGATGTGCAGGCCTATTATCCAAGTTTCTCCATGCGTCTGAGTGCTGAAAGGGGAACTCCAGCTTTCGTGTATGCAACCTCATTTACGCGCTTACTGAATGATTTAATCAACGAGACTTAATCAGCGAATGAAATGACTTAAGCATCGAAAACTACAAACTTATTCATTTTGGATAGTCGGACTTTATCTTAAAGACATTTCAGATTAATGATGGGAAAGTTTCTTGTTATTATAGCTATAGTAAATGACAGACAATCCTATTCGTCGCGAGGGCACAATTATTATCGAGTCGAGAAGATTTCGGTCGCGTGCAAGACACACAGAAGAACAATTACAATTGCTACGAATAATTGTAATTACTCGTTCTACTTTCGAAATTCCAGGCCTCCTCATTCGGCTTGTATAATGGTTCTGTCTTTCATAGCGAGCGTAAATAGCGTGAACGTGGAAAAATGCGAGGAGACATTTTTCACGTTATTCTTCCTTCAACAATTGTCAGCAATCGTTTCTTCGTATTCGAGAGATCGTGTGATTCTTACTTTATACATCATTGTGACGAAGTGGGTCGAAAGCGCAATTACGATTGTCGTACTTAAGTTAGTCATGCAAGTTAACTTTGATGATTTCACGCTTTACCTATACATCGGAGATGAGATCAAATTAGAATATTCCAACAACTGCAGGAGTATCAATTACTAAATTTAAAGTGTTGTCCATTCGGTACGTATCGTATAAAGGTAGAAAAATCAGTAATAATCGTCAAAAAGGTAAAAAAATTAGTGATAATCATCATATCACTAAATAAGTATCACTTTTGTGATAAAATTTAATGTAGATAACTAAAATATTAATTATTTGCGCAAATACAACGACATAAAAAAGATAATATTGCCTTATGTGCACTAAACATCGAGAATCCTCTCGTCAAGAAAATCCACGGTTAGCTCCACGTCTCTTAACGCGTAAAAGTTACGAATGATATATAACGATAGGAAAAATCTTGGAAAAGGAATCCGGGAGTGAAAAGCGTCAGATTTTCGCGCGCCCGACGCAAAGCGCGTCTCTCGTAATACCTCGTAATCCCGCACGCGCCGCGCCGGAGTCAATCTTTTAGAGAGCGCATCTTCGGCGCCGTCCGGTCCGGCTCGCGCGGGAGTTATACATCGTCAGAGAGCTTTTTATCAGTGGACGGCATCACGGAGCGAACAGCGGGAAACTGAACGGACGTGAAAAGACTCGCGGCCGATAGTTGCGAACTGAACGTATACCGTATAGAGAAACAGCCGGAATCCCTAAACACGTTATTCAGTTTAAATCCGAATCTGCGATTGATTGTCAAGCCGCTGAAAGCTCTGTAAGTATTTAATTGGTCTACGCACGATATGCCTGTGCTATGCTACGCGGGAGCAATGACAATTAATCCGGCTCGTGGATCGCATTAATCGGTGTCGCAGAAGAAAGAAAATCCGTCTGTCTCCGGTCGTTCTTTCCTTCGAGTCGCTCGTTTTACAAAGCGATCGACTAACGAGACATCCAAGTAGCCTCTATCCTCTGTAATCGGAACAATACAAAAGAGAAACTGGCGAGGAAAAAGAACGAACGTGAACGGAACGGGATCGTCGTGTCGCGGTCTTAAAACGCGACGTCGATATGAAATCGAACGTCGATACGTTAGTTCGACATTTTTATGCAACGAGTGCAAGTACAGATGAATAATAATTCGCGGAAAACCTTTTATTCGTTTCTAATTAAAAAAAACTCCAGGGATGCCTTGACATTTTAATTAAGGAACAATCGACTCGATGCTAAATAAAAGATCAAGATTACAGTCGATGATTCTGAGACGTCACATACACATGTATGTCAATATTGAAAGAGGAATTAAGTTGTTTTTGCAGCAACTAAATTCTGTCTATAAAATATTAAAATCCCGGTTGTATACCTTTCAGGACTTTATTTGCTCTCTTTCGTTGGTTTGAACGTCGCAAGGGTACATAACGAGTCTAACAAAAGAAACTTTTCCATGCGCGACACGAACGGCGGCAAAAAAGTAGCGCGTGTTCGAAATCAACCCTTTCGCCTGGCGCTCGTCTCTGACCCTTTTAAGTCTCGGGCGATTTACATTCCGAGCCGAGAGACGGCAAAACTGCGGAGGGTGAACCGGTAAGAGGCTATATACGATACGATTTTTATTCCGGCGCGTTTTTGCCATTCAATCTTGAAGTGGAAAGGAAAAGTGACAGAAATATGATTTTGAGATTTACATGAGAAGCGAAGGCGATTGAATTTCGCAAGCGACAACTGTGTACGTATATATTACCCTCTGGTTTTCTCCAGAAAAATGCAATGTTTCAAACGAAATTATTAACGCACTTGAGACATCGCACACAATTTCACAAGGTCGTATTATACGATTTCGATATCGCGACTAAAAGAAATTTAACGCTCGATACCGCTTGGCGATCTTGATGAAATAGCACTGGCACAGCAAAATTTCTCAGAGCTCGCTTCTTAATTATTCATCATCGGAATCACGTCGGAGCATCCAATCGAGGAGCGTCAAAGATATCGGGGCTCCGTGGTTCCGGTCTACCCTATCGTGCCTGAAGACCGGCATATTTAATTGGCGCGGTGCGGGCAGCGGGCAGCATCGCGGATACATACGTCGGTTTCTTCGGCACGAACCGAGGCAATCTTCTGATCCTTCGCGGAAACCGGTCGCAAAGAGAGTCTCGATTACACGTACAAAACTGAATCGACCGCGGAATACGGCCCCCACGACCCCGTCGTCATTTCGCGTAACAAGCAAAGCGAAATTATTCTTCTGTCTACACGTTGTGCTCTTCGCTTTAACGAGACGTCGAAGGAGAATCGCCGCGTGGATGTTATTCCGGGCAGATTTTGCCCATTAAAGTTTAACTCGCAGTTGATTACGTTACGCGACGCGATATCGCATCTGCGTATACATTCGAATTAGATAATTCTCAATCTGCGTCGCGTTTATTAACGCGAACGTTTCGGTTCGTTATGTAATCGATGGCATTAGCTCTCATACCGAAAATTGTAATAACCTAACGTAATGTAACCTAATTTAACCTAACCTAACCGAAAGTAATTAAAGCGAAGCTTAAAAAAAATGTCATTCCACGTGGTGGAACTATAAAGAATGCATTCCTGGCAAAACACTGACATCCCCTTTAGAATTATCGAGTTTTCCCGTTCGATTAATAAATCTTCGATTTAAGAGCAGAAAAGTTACGTTTCCATTATGCTCGTCGAGTCCATCTGCGCGGTTCACGGTGGCTTTCATCTTCGCGGGGGAAAAAAGGGGTCGGAGGAAAGATCCCGAGAACGGAGCTCACGGACATCGATTTCAAGGAGCGAAGCAGGCTTCAGAAAACTTCGAGTCGGTGTATTCCCCTCGACTTTATTCAAATTCATCGGTGGACGCGGCGAGAAGTTCTACCGCACCGCTCTCCCCATTCCTGTCGAGCTCTCTCAGCGAGAAGTGGCGCCCGTCCGGCGAAGTTTCCAGATCGCGTCGCAATCGCAAAAATCGAGTGTCGTTTGTTTGTCAGCAGTTTAGAAATACGACAGCGCCTTTTTTGCCAGCGGGGTGTTTCGTAAAATCTCGGCACAAAGGATCCACCCAGGGCAAAAACGCGAAATGAGAGTGGAACGGCCAAGTGTGAAACGGCGCGAGGGTGGCTTCGAAATAAACGATACTTTTTGCGCGTAACGTGCATTTTATTTCTCTCTTTCCCCGCCTTGAATCCTATAGCCTTTTTATTTCCTAGCGCGTTTTTTCGGCCGCGCGTTCGTCTCAAATCTTCTCAGTTTGAGAACCATTGCGGTACCGTACGCGGTCGGTTATGTATAATATAACGCGCCGCATGCTTATTCCCACCGCGAATCAAGAGAGTCTACTTACTCTGGAGCAGGATTTCTCCAGCGTTGCGTTCCAGCCCGCGCCATCAGGCATCAACCGCCCGACCTGGAAGCAGAGGGTGGCAACGTTATATTTTGCATAACAATCTCAATACGGAGACAATGAAATATATGTAAGAAACTAAATCTTAATTTCGTTTTAGGATATGCCGTCGCAGATTTGCTACACGGTAAAAAAACATTTTGTATTTGTGTTGAAATCTCTACTCGTGTAGAAATTTGTGTGTTAAATTTTTAACATACACTTGTGTCAATGTAATATATTGTTATTGTATTATTTTGACCTTTCTACATTAAGTTAATATTCATCGTTTCTAAGAGTTAGAATAACACAATTTATATGTAAGTGCACGAATTCTTTGACATATATTTTATATGTTAAAATAAACAAAGTTATGTTACTTTCCTATAAGAGTTTTTATTTGTTCAATCGACATATTTCTGTAAAAGAAAAGAAAAAAAACTAACATTTAATGTAAAAGTAACATTTTATTTTAATTAAATTTAACATTATAAATATGTTAATTTAACATAAACTTTGCTTCCAGATAACGTCCATGTGTTACAATTTTATGTTAATTTTTCATCTATTACTTGTATTATTTATTTACACATTTAGCTTCCGTTAAATTAACATATAGTTATATTATAAATGAATTATAATATAATTAATATAATATTATGGATAAATTGGGAATGTAAAATGTATTAAATTTAACAAAACATTTTTTACTGTGTATATACGTAATTTGTCATCTCGTAAAATATATTTTATAAAATTTTATAAAAAAACTGTTTAGGAAACTCTTATATGCAATAACAATACAATATTTTGAGACTTTGGCGATAACAAACTGACGGTTTATCGAGAGCGGCCTTAAAAGCATGAATCGCTTTCATTAATGGTATGCTGCAATGCCGGACAACCGTGCACGAGCATAGCGGGACGAGTAATAAACGCAAATACGTAATGGTATCTCCATAATTTGTGCCCAGCGGTAGCGGTAATAATTGTAATTTACAGTTACGAGATTACGAATCGTATATATCACGTTATGTAATTCTCGGTATCTCTCCCCGTTAGATACACATGTATGGTAGAAAATCTCAAGAATATTAAAAAAAAAATGAAGCAAATTAAGGTTCTCGCTATTTTCTCTCTCTGACTTCACACAATAAAAATTATATTATTTTTATATATCGATCAAACATGCCTGTTCCCTGTTATTTTAATAAAATATGTAATTATATATATAAGATAAATAATTTTGTAAAGGTTCAATTTTCTGCACTAATTATGTTCCTCGATTGTCTACACAGTTCCAGCGGCCAATATTATTATTCTACGCATTATAAATTTATATGATCGAAAGCACAGGCTCAAAGATGCATTAACGGTCCATTAACGCGAGATATAACGGCATTATTAGAGCCGATCCTGTCGCGATACAACAATCGCGTTGCGTCGCACATCATATATCGTAATTGAGGTATTAATATTCGATATTGACCGGGGAATCCGTCGCGTCTCACGTCACGGGACACGCGCCTCGCAGCGCGTTGATAAATATTTGCCGCGAGAGTTGCCACGATAGGAAGACGGATAAGAGCGTGACGCCGCGTCGCCGCATCGCCGCGATGGAGGAAGGAAGCACTCCGGTGGAGCATATAAGTTGGGCGGTGGCGTGTTTACGGTGTGTACATATGAACTTAACGAACCGTCGGAAATCCTCGGTGTATACCGTCGGAGAAAGGGCAAAAGTTGCCCATCATTCGGGGCAACTTACCCCTCGAGAACTCATCGTTACCGCCGCCGCGCCGCCGCCGTCGCCGACGGCCGGTCGTAACTGCGCGGGACTGTCGCGTCGGCAGTTTAGTTCGCGGACATGTACAAGGCGTGCACTTTATTACCGTCATAAATGTCCTTTAATCTGCATCAATGTGTTTCGGCAATTTTGTGCGGCACGTTCTCGACCCGCGAAACGCGGACAAGGGATACGCTGAACGTTGATAACGCAACAAAGAGAAAATTGAACGTGAAATAGAGGCAAAAGTAGGAAGAATGATTTCTTTCCTCCATTTTTCACTAATCTTTAGTTTTTTTTTTAATTTTCCATGGCTAAAAATAAAAATATTTATAAAATATTTATAAATATATAAACTATATTAAAATATATAACATATATTAAAATAAAAATAAAAATTCGTTAAAAATGATTGTAACGTGCCAAAAATAAAAGTGATAGAGATACAGGAAAGAAAAGGAATATCACTGGTGTTAAGATTCTAATCTGAGCAATTTAAGATCCTTAGACTAACGTATTTATGTTTTAATATTCTTATTAACTATCGAATATCCGATCTGATTAAATGTTAAACGCAACAACGCGACAATCACCGCATCGCGAGAATCCTCGGCAAAATATCGCGCATGAAGAATCAAATGGCTTATTCCCATCTTCGTGATCGTCGAGCCGCCCCGTCTGACGGCGCCTACGACTGGGTTTGTCTGGGTGCCTCAGCCGAGGATGACCCCTCGCGGGAGTTTATATTATGTAAGCAGCGTAGTTGTAGCGTAACTTCAGCCAGCTCATGCATATCTCAGCGAGAAGTGGGTGCCACTCCAGCCCAGCCTATACGCTTTTCCCCGGTTGAATCCCTTTCGACCATACTTCCCGGATCCTCCGGAACCATCCCTGCCTTTTAAGGGATGCTGCTTCCCGACGCTAAACACGTCACGCAAATAGTTTTTGGGGCTTGTAGTGAAAATTGTACTGATGTGTACATGGGCGCGCGATGCAAAATTCAAGAAGCGTGATGGAACGCAAAGTATGTAATATGCAATTTTAGCTTCGGCGATTTTACAATTGCACGCGTAATTAACGCGCTTTTTCATATTTCATAAAAAAAAATCTTGGCAATATGGTCGTCATCATTTGGAAAAAAAATCAGAGATGCATAGATGTAATGCAATGATGTAACTATATATGAATTTTAAAATAACCCGAATAAACGACGTAAAAAAATAATACAATAATAAAATTTGATTATGCTAATCTTTGGGCGATGGTTGAAGATTTTGGATCCTTTATTACGGCGGTGATATTTTGCGAATACATCAGCCAATCAATGAATTTTAATCCGGGTGAAGGGACCGTAGGGATTCTATAAAGCATCTCACACGCTCGGCGGGAATCTGGGTCAGATATTTACAATTTAAATGGTTTCTTTCAAATTCAAAGCATGGGGATTATCGAGTTGATTGACCCTTTGAACTCTCACCAATAGTTGAAATTTTGCGCTACGCTTCCTGGATAATGCAGTCCTTTCATAAGTAATGTATACGCAGTAGTCAGTACATTTCGAATACAAACATTATTCGTAATATGAAATATTTTTTTCAACTTTCAAGCTATAGTCATATAATGATTTTAGAATTATTTCGAGATTTCAGATTTCAAAGTTATGGCATAAAATCACAGTCAACGCTCTCTCTGTATGTCCTCCGATAAAATTATCCATTTATCATGTGGTCGATAGAGGAGCAATATCCCCGACTATTTTTCTCCACTTTTTAACTTCCAATGACTAGAACGAAACTTTCCTGCATGTTTTCCCTTTTTATCAGAATCCATCGGTACATCGCAACTTTTAAACCAGTAAAGTGCCCGCGGATGTCAAGAGACTTTGACCAAAATACGTATCACGTATATATAAGCCAAGGGTGTACTTATCCAACCCGCGCGAACACACACACACACACACACACACACAAACACGTACGTATGCACACACAAATTCACGGAATGCAGCCGTCGACACAATGCGACACAGTGGGATTGGCTAGTTATGAACATTTTTTGCTAACGCAAGCACAGCGAATCCGGCTATGGACTCGCAGCTTCAGCAGTATTGCGGGTCTTGCACTTCGTATATAGATGCGCGTCCTCTCGTCCCCTTTTCGTCCTCCGCTTCTGACGACGCCATCATCCCGCCCCCGAACCAGCTATGCACCGTCGCCCCCTTCGCCCTTTTTACTTTTTTCAGCCTCGTCCGCGCTCTTTTCCATTCAAGAGACGTGATTGCAGCCTGCATATTTTATGAGACCAGCCTCCGACCGTGTACCCATCCATCCAACCAGCCCGCTATCCATCCATCCATCCATGATGGATCCGTCTGTCTGTCGCCGGCTATGATCTATATAACCTTGCACTTTCTACGACGGTGTCAAGACTTATTCTTAAACTCCTTCTCGCCGCACCACCCGCGTCAGCCCTAAACATCCACCCTCATTTCTTCATTTCTTTATTACGATGATATTTATATCGCACATTCGTTTATACAGCTGTGCCATGAACGTGCGCAAGTGTCGTTGCCGCGATACTCGTTGCGAAATAAAAAAAAAACTCACCAGTAAAAAAACTTCCTCCGAACAAATGCAAAAAATTAACAGTAACTGCATAACTCGCACGTAATAAACTTTTGCACTTTCTTCTGAACGTGACTAATAATTTCTAGTACATTTTTAAAGATTCGATTTGAAAAAAGATAAATTATTAATGATTTTATTAAAAAAAACTTTAAGTTTTGTCTGTTATCGCCGTTACTACGGGAAAGTGCCCTGGACGATATTATAAAATATATTATTTTATATAAAATAAGTGATATTATATAATATATTTAAGTTAAATAGTGCAAAATTTTTAGTGCCAATTAACTAATATTACATATAGTAATGTTCAAAAATTACTTCTCACCAAAGTATCTTTTCCCACGTTTTTTCAGACTTGAGACTATGTTATTATTATATTTCATCTTCCTCTACACAAATGTATATAAAAGTCAAGTAATGTGTGCGTTCAAGGTCCAAAATCACTTAATAAAAATAAGTAAGGTTCTTTAAAAAGACGTAAATAAGTTGTTAATTTTTATTTATTTCTCCACTATTAAAATTACATGTTTTTCAGCAAAAAATTTATTTTCTCATTCGAGACTATTCGAAGCTACTTGATGTTGGATTACCTCTTCTCGGTTACCACTTTGTGT